GTGACTCTGTGACGTTGCGAGGAACGAGCGTCGTGACAGAGGGTGGTCTATGGATGCGCGAGAGCGAGAGCGGCGTGACAACTCTTTTCGCGCCTGCTCTCGTTCTTGCTCGCCGCTGAAGCCTGAAGCCTGAAGCCGGAGAGTCCTCAGACTCTCCCTTTTTCGCACTCTCTATAGCTTAGAGCACTTTAATCGGCCTACCTTCTAGTCTAGAGCCTTTTAATCAAACTTTCTTGTCACATATATCTATTTCTTTCTCAGGCTACACACCTTCGGCGAAAAGAAAAAATGAGCGCTGCCCTACCGATCGTTGACCCGACCAGCTTTACCCTGCCCAACCACAAGGACCCGGAATATGCACCTCTGATAAACATCTTGACGGGTACTGGCCTCAGCTTAGATGATGCCGTGAAGGAAATGGATGAGGTATGGAAGGCGGCGCAGAAAAAGAGGGTGCAGGCATGGAATGACGAGCTGCGCAGGGTCGAAGCGGATCGCGCGAGAGTCAGGGCTGACGAAGAGAAGAAGGAGGAGGACGAGAGGTTGAAGCGCGAAGAGGAAGAGAGGAAGGAAAAGGACGAAGAAGAAAAAAAGCGGGTTAAGATGCCTGCAATGGATGAAGCTACGACCATCTCCACGACACCCCGCTTCCCAGTCCCTCAGTACGCACTCGACAAGATCTCCAAAAAGTTGTGGGTCGAACACGACTTGTTTACACCACGGATGGCCCGCAAAGCAGCAGTCGAATCCCGTTCGATTCCTACCAACCCCTTCTCGGGCCTACCAGAGTCGAATCCGCTCCACGCCCTGTCGACGCTAGTCGAGACACAAAAGCCTCGTGGCGTCATTGCGGACGAGGCGCTTTCCTACAGCGACCTATCCATCGCCAGCAAACACTTTTTACGAGCCATTCACGACGCCGATTGGGATGAGGAGCACGTTGAGGCCTGGACGGTCCTCTACTACGAACTCGATAAGCATCCCTTTCGTTCCGAATCCGAAGAGGAGCGCGAGTTGTACAACGAAGTGCTTGTTCGCTACCACGCACAGGCCAAACGCGAGTTCTTCGACGCGATCAAGCGCAAGGCCAAGTCAGTCTTCAACATCGGCCGCATAAATCAAGAGCGTATGGAGAATGTCTTAAGAGATGTCAGGCGTGAACGAGACGCTATCATCACCAAACGGAGCATAGCGGCGATAGAGCAGATGGAGCGGGTCAGCATATTCCGCCTTGAACATACGATGTTCCTTCAATTACTAACATTTCTGATTTACACCCTCTTTCTCAACCCCCCCCTCCTTTTTTCCACCTCTCCATCATGCAAAATCGCAAAATCGCAAAATCGCAAACCCATTCCCCTTGCTGCGTCGTACAGCTTGTCGAGGACAGCTCTCGCACAAAAGAGAACTCTCGCGAGCGGGGGCCCAACGCCATGCAAAGAACGCGCTACCGCTCCCCAGACCGAACCTCTCGCCGTCGTCGTTCCTCCTCCCCATACCGCAGACGCTCGCCGTCGCCACCCCCGCGCCGCTCACCTCGCGATCGCTACCTAAAAATTGCATCCTCTGGTCGACGAGAAAACGAGAATTTTCGTCCGGACGCAGGTACGGCGGCCTTATCCGCCTGCGTCATCTGTCTGGGCCGCCACCGCCACAGACTCTCCGAGTGCGCAAGCCTCACCCTGTGGAACGGTGCCCCTGCTTACTCCGAACGACGAGGCAAAACCGTCACGATCAAAGCCTCACGGGAAGCGGTATGCCTCTCCTGGAACTACCCAAACGGCTGCGACGACGGCTCTCACCCCGGACGTCACATCTGCACCGGCTGCGGTTCTTCTTCCCATGGAGCCCAGCGCTGTCATCTCGCAGAGAAGACGAACACCACGGACTCCGCTTAAAGCGGATGCATGGGAGGCGTACCTCATCGAGTCAGGCCTCATCGCAAGATACCCGCTTCTTCCTCGGTCTCTTCGTTCCGGTTTCTTTATTGGTGTTCTCTCTATTTCGCATACTTTCACTCCACCTAATCGTCCCGCCGTACACGAATATGCGGACGCCTTTCAGACTATCATCCAAAAGGAGATCGATGCCGGCCGTTACCTTGGCCCCTTCACCCGTCTCCAAATCGAACATTCCATCGGCCCATTCCAGTCTTCCCCTCTCTCCCTCGTACCAAAAGCTGGGAAGCCCGGAAAATTTCGTCTCACTCAAAATCTATCTCATCCACGCTCTCCACTCGTACTACTGTCGTCGCCGTCATCCCCAATCACCATATCTTCCATCAACTCCTCTATTGAAGCCTCCGACTTCCCTTGCACATGGGGAACCTTCACTGTCGTCTCACTCTGGCTCTACCAGCTCCCGCCCGGTTCTGAGCTTGCATGCCGGGATATCGCCGACGCGTTCCGCTCAGTCCCTTCCGATCCATCACAATGGCCAGGATCCGTCGTCCGCACCGGTGACGATGAGTTCTTCATCGATACCAACGTCATGTTTGGCATCACCTCGGGCGTGGGAGTTCACGGTACCGTCGCAGATGCTGGTACCGACATTTTCCGCTGGAAGGGAATGGGGCCAGTCTCCAAGTGGGTGGATGACCACCTGTTCGCTCGGATACTCCGCGAATACCTCCCCGAGTACAACAGACGACGTGCTGCCGCTCATCAGCGTATCGAAGCCAACGGCGGACGGCGTCAAGATGGATCTCGCTTCTGGTATGCAGGCACGACCCTTCCGGACGGGCGAATTGAGGAATTCGACAACGACTGCAAATTTCCGCTACAAGACCTATCCTCCCGTTCATCTCGCTTGCCTGTGGACGCTAAGTTTGCATACTGTATGGCCGACATCGATGAGCTATCCGAAGAATTGGGGCTCCTTTGGGGCAAGGATAAGGACATCTCATTCCGGCCGCTTTGCCCATTCACAGGCCTGGAGTGGGACATTGAGAGACGGATGGTGTCGGTTGGGGAGGCGAAGAAACAGAAATATCTCAATGCCATCGCGGTGTGCCGTGAGCGGCGATCCCACGTCCTTCAGGAGACACAAAAACTCTATGGCAAGCTTCTGCACGTCTGTCAGGTTATACCACGAGGACGAGCGTTTCTCACCAACCTGGAGACCTTACTCCAACTCTCCCATGATCGTCCATTCGTTCCGCTCACCCCTCCATCCGGCACAACTGAAGACCTCGAGTGGTGGCACCGCACACTCTCAAGACCGTTCCTCTCCCGGTCTCTCTTCATTCCGGCCGTGGTCGCAGACCCAGGCGCCTTCTCGGATGCAAGCTCTGGAACAGGGATCGGGATCGTCATCGGGGGTAGATGGAGAGCGTGGCGACTTCTCCCTGGCTGGAAGCAGGACAGGCGCGACATTGGTTGGGCGGAGGCCGTGGGCTTCGAGCTACTCGTCCGAACCCTATTCAGCATCGCCGACTGTCCATCACATCTCAAGGTGTACGGTGACAATAAAGGAGTGGTCGAAGGCTGGTGGAAGAACCGAAGCCGCAACCCGACCGTCAATGCAGTCTTCCGTCGAGTCCACGACGTCCTGGAGGACAAGGGTAGCACGGTGTACTCCCGCTACGTATCAACCCATTCCAATCCCGCAGACAACCCATCCCGAGGTATCTACGGCGCGAATTCTCTCCTACTACCGCCGGTCAAAATCCCCAACGCCCTTACGCCATACCTCGTCGACTTTGATGCCCTCTTATCTCCCGTGGAGGAAAAAGCTCGCACTGAGCAGTCCTACAAATCACAGCCGAAAATCCTCGACACCGAAGCGCGCAAACGGGGCTCCGAGATCAACCTCGAACTTACGGCCATCGGCAACTCCCTCCTCGCGAATGAGATCTACTGGTGGGACTGAGCACAGTTTCGGCGCGGTCATCTCCCTCCCCTATCGCGTGCCGGTAGCCCAGCGCCCTCGTCCCTATC